AGCAGCTCCAGCTCTTTGAAGATGTCGCGAGTCCACACAGCACCGCTCGACGTGATGTACGTGTCCATCTGAATGCCTGCGGCTTCATATTGCCGCAGCTGCTGCTTGGCCCTCTCCCGCATTTCTAAGAACTCCTCCAACGGAACATCATCCGGCTTGTAGCGCAAGGCTGCCTCACTGATCCTCGGATCTTTTGGAACATGATCCTGCTGCGGGGCCTTGTTTCTCTCGGTCCTGCTCTTCTTTTCAGACGGACCTGCAACATCATCCGCCTGAGCGGCCTTGGGATGATTCTGGGCCTTGTCGAAGAGCCCAGTCTTGCTTTTGAAAGCACCCCGGAGACCGTCCATGTTAACCGCCCGGCTGCTAGCTAGCTGCACCTCGGATCGAGCTCGAGAGGAAATATTATCGTGGAATGTATGTGCAGCATTCGAAGGTGCACACCCACATCATCCCATGACAATCTGAAACAGCACCTCACTTGCAACTTTTGCAATTGGAGGCTTGCACAATCCTTGGAAATCACCAGGCGATAGACAAGTATGTCTCCGATTCCTCTCTTTGGAGGCTGGCTGTACAGAGAAGGTGTCCGGTTGAAAAGGTCACTTCCAATTTCTGAAAAATTCGGAGCATCTGTGTATATATCTTCCGAACAGTTCGACATGCATGGTCGGCATGGGCGGAAGTGGTTTCCGTGACATGCCTCAATGCCTGGGCTTCTGCCTCCTCTTGCAATCGCCCTCCTGGCCCGGCGCCTGCCTCTGCCTCCTGTTGCAATCGCCCTCGTGGCCCGGCGCCTGCCTCTTGGCGGTATCGACCCAGCTCGTCCACTGTCTTTTGCATCTAGACGACAGGTGAAACTCCTCCTCCTGCTCACTTATAGTCGGCAACACGGGGCACCAGCAGCAGCGGTTCCAGCCAGTGCGATAAACCGACGTAGAATCATGGGACCAGTGTTTCCCGATGGACCCATCGGCCTTAAGCACCAGCAACATGGGTGCTTATTGCGCTAGCTGAATGCTTTCGAGCAGAAGATGTCTGAAGCAAGACAACAATCCTGCCAACAGTTCACGGCAGCAATCATAGAAGGCACCATTCCCGAGGCCACGACGGGGCACGCTCCAAGACCAGCGCGGCAGAATGCCGACGGCCAGCCTCCAAGCAAGTGGCAGCACGATGGTAAGTTAGACCCAAGTTCACAAGCAGCATATGGCCTCCGGAAGGCNNNNTGCCGACAGCCAGCCTCGTGGCGGCAGGATGTTGGGACCCATGCAAGAGGCACAGCCTATAGTACCGAGGCAGCCACAATGGGGTGCACGAGCGTTGGAGTCCGGATCCTGGAACATGCCAAGCTGCAATTGCACTCCGAATTCAACCATTGCAATTCGAAATGGATTCAAGGCAGTATCTTTTTTTCCACACATGCACAGCGACTCTTGCCAGCCGATGTGCAGGCTTTTATAATACTAGTTTCGCGCTGCAGCTGAGGAGCCCTATAGGTATAAGCTAGTATACACCCAGTATGTATAGGCCATCATAGAGTTTAGGGTTGTGGGGTCCCAAAATAATAGTTATTGTGAAAGGGCTAACAGCTGGAATCAGGAGCCCTAGGTGTAAGCTATAGAGTATACACCCAGTATATAGGCCATCATATGGTTGAGGGTTTTATTTTCCCCAGCCACAGCTGCAGAACTCATCGCAGCCGCCGAAGCACTGATCGGCAACGCTGCGCGCGCTCGAGATGCTGCCCGCGCTAACGCTGCCCTGATCGGACGGCTCTCGACGCGGGATCCTGGGATCGATGGCACATACTATATACATGATTGAGACAAGCATGAATGTGATGCACTGCACTCGTCAAGGCAAGGAGCGAAACCTTCGGCAGCTCCTGGCCACGATCATCCTTGCCGAAAAAAGGCTGGGCAGTTGCAACCGGAGGTCGAAGTGGAAGCTGTGCTCCTCGGGATCTTGAAAGGAGGGCTTCTGGGGTTAATAGGGTATTA